GTCTGCCCTTGAGGAGTTCTTCCTGGATCCTGGAAGCCCTGACCCCGAAGTACCGGGTGCGCCAATTCGACCCCTGCTCCGCGATCGCCAGGGCGGCGTCGTTGTCCAGCAGAAGGTCGATTGGCTCCAACTCGATACCCCATTCCTCGAGTAACGCCCGGATGCCTTCGACGATCTGCCACGCGAGCGCTGCTGCACCTAGCTCCGCCTCTGCTGTGCTGAGAGAGCTGACAGTCTGGCGCGACGAGCGCCACAGCAGCGGAGCTCCTGCCCAACTCAGGAAAACACCTGACTGAGCTCTGGTACTCATTCCTGCATAGCCAGCGTCTGACCAAGCTACCAAAGAAGCCTCATTTCCACCGCTGGGCAGAAATAGCCCACAGTCACGTGTACCCTTAAGGTATCGCAAGATTTTCTTTGCCAGCTGCTCGCTCCACTTGGCGTGCTTGCTCAGGGCGGAGGCTAACAGGCTGGTGAAATAGGCGAGGTCAGCCCGTGTTCTTGTGGATAGCCAATTAAACTCTCCTGCGTAACTCTGAAGCTCGCGAAGTTTGTCTTGACCTGGCTGGTCCTCCTCTCCCGGGGGGTCCATGGTGACTGTGTTCAACGCCTTCGCATCGGACATACCATGCTTCTCAAGGATCATATCAATGAAGTGCTACTGGCGGAGGACAATCCCATCGGCGAGCCGCTGGATCTGGAGGCCAAGAAACGTGATCTCGGTGCCAGCCTCAAGCTTCACCTCTTGCTTCATTGTCCAGTGTTTGGCCAGGGCTTCCTTGAAGTTCGTCCGCATCTCGTCCTGCGGGCAGGCCAGCAAGAAGTCGTCTACGTAGACAATGAGCAATCCGAGCACTACATTCACGCCCTTCTCGGTTATCTTCCACACCTGACTGTCCTCAGCGCACTGTTCGAGGCAATAAGTTTTGCCCTGAGCCTTCCAAGTAAGATTCCGGAACACCCGGTCCCGCTCTTTGCCCCAAGCCCTGGGTGCGACCCTCAAGCCGTACACTGCACGTTGTAAGACCCACACTTCTCCGGGTGCTACGAGCCCGGCTTCGACGAAGGCTTTGGGCGGATTCACCAGGACGTGGACGGTCTCAGGGAGCGGCGCGTACATGAATGCACCTGACACGTCAAGAGTGCCGAAGTCCCATCCTCGCAGGAGTCCCATACGTAATCCGGCGAGCAAGCTGGACGTCTCGGCTTGCGCTGTCCACAGGGCCTGGCTGGGGTCGTTGCGCTCGAAGTTGCCGCACACGACTGCCCGGACTCTGTAGATGCCTCCCTGCTTCTTCGTGTACACGAGCTTCATCGGCAAGGGAGGGCCATGGCGTCTCTTGTCCGCCTCTGTGGCGGTCCTGTATACATTTCGCTGAACGAAATTCTCGACGTATTCCTTCTCTGTGGCAGCGCGCCACTGCTCAGCTTCACGCCCAGTGGTCTTGCGTACTTCGGCAGCTGGGACTGTCACAGACCCCGGGCCGTCCATGAGAATGACATCGTGTTCTGTAGACAACCCATGAACAACGTCGGGAGGCACATCGACCGCCTCGCCGTGAGCTCCGGTCAGGAGCGCCCTCACGGTGACCATCCTCTCCGTCACGGAGCGTTTTCCTTTGAACCTCTTACGGCGGTGAGGCTGCATGAGGACTGATGCTCCGGGAAGTGGGTGCTCTTCGTCCTCTTCGTTCTGCTCCTCTGGCAACGCTGCCACGGCCTTCTCCGTAGCAGGCGAGTCGTCATCACCACCATCAGGTCCTGCGTGTTCTTCGTCCAGAGACTGGCCAGTGATGTGCACAAGCCCCGAGCCGCTGATCCACTCGTCCGCATCGAAATCTGTGTCAGACTCGGTGTCCGTCTGAACGGGGGCGTGGTCTGGGCTGCATGTTGTGTCTGACCAAGTGCCTCCAGTGGCTCCCACAGAAGACGGTCCTGCATGGCTGCTCGAACACTCAGACATGGCCACAGCAGCGTGCGGGAAGATCGCCAGACGCCGATGTACATCATCAGGTACCTTCTGTATTGTTATTTTTTGGTGGGAAGGTCTCCCAGGCAAACTCGCTGACGAAGCAGATGCTATTGCAGCTTGGAATGACGGGTCCTCCATAAACGGGACGATCTGTGGAGAGTTGTCGAGCTGCTCAACCAGTTCCTCTAGCCTAACAAGGACTGGAGGCGGCTTTTCTTCCACGTTCAGATCTTCAGGGGGGTGTTCGGGCAACGACTCGTCTGGCAGCACCGCCGAAGCAGGAACAGGACCTCCAGGGGCACGATTGCCTGCATGATCATGCTCTGGAAAATCCACAGCTGCAGCGTCGAAGAGAGATGCTTGTGGAGGAGGCATCGCCGCAATCGGTGTTTCGTACTCGCCCCAGCTGGCCTTGACGATGACAAGCTCGTCTTGCGTCAGCCCGGCCGTCTGGATGTTGACCTTCGGCACGACCTTCCCAGACTGGTACACCCACAAAGCATCCGGAATGTTCTCACATGGGCCAAAACACGTGGCCGGAAGCGCTCTCGGAAGGAACGCGTTGCGTGGCGCTGGCGTAAGGTTGACCATCACACGTGTACCAAAAGGCACTTTAGGCGGCCTTGCTTCTCCGGCGTCCACCCGACTGAGATGAGCTGCCGCCAAGACTGCCATGCCCCACCACCGTGTGGGGAGCCGGTTCAGGCTGAGAAGGTATCTGCCTCTGGCTTTGATGACTCCCACAGCTGACTCAGCAGTGCCATTGCTGCTGGGGTCGTACCCCTGTGTCGTAGTGAAGTGGATGGCATGGTACTTTAGATAATCAGCCAGCGCTGCATTGACGAACTCGCCGCCGCGGTCTGAATGAAGCCGATAGACGATCCTATTCGGTAAGTTTCCAAATTCAGACCGTATCTGCGCCAAAATTTCTTGGATCTTGGCCGGGGCCTCGTTCTTCTTGACCAGTAGGGCCACGTAGTACAACGCCTTCACATTGTCATCCGGAGGCTGGTCGGCAGCACCAGGCGGTAAGTCAGCCGCCGGCTGGGCCATGCCAATTTCTGCCGCACCCTCACCAGGCGGCTCCTTCGGAAACTTCACCGTGAGCACAAGAAAGTAGTGTGCCGGCGAAGACCCAACCTTCTGGCCTGGCTGCGGGGTGGCCTCGTGCGGGCCGCTGAGGTCCACGCTAGCCACTCCAAGGCTCTGGTTATGGTACCGTCTGTGGTAGTGCTTCCTTTGGGCCGCCGCTTGCCAGACAGCGTCTCGTTTGTCGTAGGTTTTCGGTTGCACCGCGCCTTCTGGGAGCTCCCCCACGATCCTCGGCACTGCGGGGGCACCAGGCTGTTCTGGAGGCGGTTGTGGTGCAGCCTGTGGTTCCTGTGGTGGTGCAGCTTGTAGTGCTTGAGGTGGTAGTTCCTGTTGTGGTGGAGCCTGTTGTGGTGGATCCTGCACTTCGTTCCTCTGCTCCCCCTGTGTCGCCGCCGATGCCAACCCGAAGCGCGGCTCGCGTTGGTTCAGCCACGGGTCGACCAGCCTTGTCCAAACATGCAGGTGGCCACGTTGCGCCGCCACTGTCTTCAAGCTGTCCAGAGCTGCGCTGATGGAGTCGACTTTTCGGGATACTCCCTCGTCTGTCCAGCAACCGGAGGTGGACAAATCCTGCCCCCCCTCCTCCAGATTCATTCGCGGGCGGCCCGATGGCGAAAGACTCCCCCCATCGGCGGTGGTCAGGGGTACTTCGTTGAGGATGTCGTCGCAGAACTCGTCCGGGTAGGATGCTGATTGCGCTGTCCTGGACCCTCCGGGGCCAGAACCACGAAGGTGCAGGTGGGCATGTGACCCGTCGCACAGCACATCATGCTGCTGCGACTGGTTCGACTGGAGCTCCGTCCCCTTGCGTATCGGATAGCCTTCAATCGTAGCTCCGCGCTGGCATTGATCGACTCGTCTCTTGGACCTGCCAAGGCCCGAAAGAAATCTGAGCGGCGATTCGGCAGAGTCGAATATGTCCGAGAAAGCAGGGTTCTCCAGTACATATTTCCTGTCCAAGAGTGTCTGCACGAAGCAGCACATTCCAATGAACTGTAATACTGGGAGCTCCGACTGGCGCATGGCAGAGCGCACTTCTGGTGCGAGGCCCCTCGCGCTCGCGCCCCACAGGTGGCAGTTGGGAGCTGCAAAGAGCATTGCTACTCCGATGAACAGCAGCGCGTGCAGCAAATGCACCTGGTCAACGAAGCGGGACAAATTCCAGCCATACCTGTAGTCGACTGGTGGCATATGCGCAACTCCCTGTGCGCGAGCCCTGGTCGACAAGTTGCTGGATCCTGAACACCATTCCCACAAACGGAACTTCGGCCCCTCCCCGTGACACCCGAGGGCGGGGGGGAGGAACCACCTCGTGACACCCGAGGGCGGGGAGGTGTCCGAATGTGGTTTTGGGTCTGAGTCGGCAGGTCTTCGCTCGAGCAGAGTCTGCGCCTGTTGCTCCCCCGGCTGGCACTTCTTCTCAAACCAGTCGGTGAAGGAGTCCGGGCCGACGTGCTCGGAGGTGTCCTGGTAGTACCTGTCCGGGATGCACTTGTACTTCCTCACCATCTGGGTGACCGTCTTGCTGTCCACCTCGCCTTCGAGATGCTTCAGCGAATCGCGGATATCCCGTGTAATACAAAGAAAAGAAAAAACCGAATAGGTTGAAAATAAAAAAAAAGAAAAAAAAAAAACAAAAAAAAGAAAAAAAAGACAAAAAACAAAAAACAAGAAAAGAAAAAACCAAGAAAAATAAAAAAAAAAAAAAAAAAAAGAAAAAGAAAGAAAAAAAAAAAAAAAAGAATTAAAAACAGAAAAAAAAAAAAAACCACATCGAAGAAAAAAAAAAAAAAATAAAGAATAAAAAAAAACATAAAAAGAGAAAAAAAAAAAAAAAAAAATAAAAAAAAAAGAGGCCATCGTGCGCGCCACGCGGGCGCTGCTGACTACCGGAACAGTCGGTTTCCCATCCCTGCCTGGAGCGTCTTTGTTGGGAAGGTCCTTGAACAAGCGTTTGAATCCTTGCACTGATATGCACGGCAAGCAGCCCCACATATGCACCTCCACATTGTTGCCCTTGGGCGTCTTCAAGTAGGAGGAACCAATGGCGTACTCGCAGCCACGCGTCCATAGCCATCCCAATGGCAGAAGGTCGATGTTGTCATCACCAGCCCTCTTCTCCACCCTGCAGATGGGGACGCCCTTCGGCCCCTGTCCTGTCTGGCACGGGCAGCTCCCCCAGGCGAGTTTCAAGGAGTCGGTCCAGCTGGAGGTCTCCTTGCTCGACTCCTGGTGCACCAGGTAAACGTTGGCCCAGCTGTCCAGGCCGACCGCGCCCAGCGGGAACTTGTCTGCTTCAGGGCCGGCAGCGGCCGCGATGCAAGACTTGCTGGTGGAGCCCGGGCCCTTGTTGCCGTTGTAGCCCTTGCCCCCGCCGTCTTTCTTCCCTTTCGTTTTGCCTTTACCGCCCTTGTCTTGGGCAGCCTTCTGTTGAGCTTCGTCCCGTCTCTTGCGGTACTCCGTCCAGTTCTTGTCGAAGTCAGGGTCTTTCCCACCGCCAGGGGCCGTGCACTCTTTCGTGCTGTGGCCCTCTTCTCCACATATGAAACACCGATTCGCATTGGTAGGGATTCCCTCGTGCTTGAAGAAGCAGTTGATGCCTCGACTGCAGGACCCCTTTTTCCAATTGCGGCACTCCGGTGCCCATTTGGACGTCGTGGTAGAAACCTTCTCCCTGATGCCTGCTGCGGCTTGTGGTGCCGCCGCATCGCCTTGGCCACTGGTGGCATCCGCATTCGCCTTGGCAGCTGCGGCTCTCCTTGCCTGCTCCTTCTTCTGGGTCTCCTGTCTCTTCTGGCTCTCCGTGAGAGGCAAGCCTGGGTTGCCGGTGCTCTTGCCCTGCAGCGCCAAGTACGAAAGCCCCCCCTCGGCGAACTCTGCTACTTTCCTCATGGAAGCAACGCTGATGACCTGTGGCAGGCCCAGGTTGTTCTCCAAGGCGACCCACCGGAGCCTTAGGTTCTCGTCTGCGTGCGCAAACACTCCAGAGAATATGCTTCGCATAGCTGTATACAAGATGGTCACGTCTGGAATTGCCATTCCCAGCTGACGGCATCTCCGGGCAGCCGCCCAGTACTTCTGGAGTTCGTTCAAAGCAGTCTCTGCCTTGGAACAGGGCTGAGGGTCAGTGAGCTGTTTAAGCACCGACACCTTCTCATCCGCCGCTCCGGAGCAGCAGAGCTTCAGGAGTAAGTAGAGAATGTCCTGGGCCTCGTCGCGGATCCCCTGGACACCTCTCTGCGACAGCTGTTTCTTCAGCTGCTGGGGCAATGAGGCCAAGAGGCGGGGCTTGATCCACGTCTCTATCTGGCACCATTTCTGCTGGTTTCTCGGCCCCACTGTGATCCCCTCCCTGGTCATGATGGGAGTAGATAGGTATCTGGAATGGGTCTCTTCGGCCGCCTTCCAACACCACACCCACCACTCGACCACTGCTGGCCCTGCGGCCTCCAGAATCTGGAACACCGCGTAGCGCCACTTTCGAAGGTGCTCCGGGCGGTCTTGGATCGCCCCGAGCTCCAACACCGGGAATTCCCCGACACAGGCCTGGACGGCCCGGAGGATGAAGTTCAGCTCGGCTGAAGAGAGACTCGTTGACACCGGGACGACTGTCTCCCCCAGTCCGTGGGAGCTGCTGCCCTGCCCACCTGTGGGCGCCGCCCCGGCTTGCGGAGCGTGGCTCTGAGGATCTCCCGGTGGAGCTTGTCCAGGGTAGTGGGCGCCATCCCCTGACCCTCCACCAGCCGACCCTGCGAAGAACGAGAAGACATCATCAAAACATCGTGGAGCTTCTTCATGCTGCGGTGCACGCTGGTGCCATACCTGTACGGCCAGACTCGGGTCTCCCGTGCCTCCCAGCAGCATGTGTTCCTGTGTCCTGACGCCTCCTCCCAGAGCTGCGATTCCCCCTCCTCCTTGAGTCCCCACAGGCCTAGTGTCGAAGGCCGCCAGGGGCAGGTCTTGGAAGGGCGCGAGCCCTGGTGGTACTGGTGCAGTCTGGGATCCTTGACGATGCACTCCTTGCTGCAGTCTGGAATGCGTGTTGGGGATGTCCCGCTGCGTGTGGGATGCCAGTGCTGCTGCGGTGAGGTCGCCCGGCTGCGCTTGCACAGCCACGCGATCTGCCAGCGCTGGCACCTGCGGCCCCATTGAGAAGGGGGCTCGTTGTGGATTGGGCAACGACAGTGGTGTCGCTGACGATGCGTCAGTAGTTAACTGATTCACACCCATGACATTCTGCCAGAAATCGCCGCCTTCTCCCTGCTCTGTGCCCCCATCCCGGGGTGTGCTACCCGAGCTGAGGACGTAGTTTTGTACTCCCCAGCGCCCTGGCTCAGCCGCAGTCGGCTGCTCCGCGCCGCCGGAGCACTGGCCAGACACTTGAAGGTTGTGGTCCTCCGTGCCGGGGCTCCAGTAGTCGTTCCAGTTCTGAACCTCCGCCTCGATCTTATCAAGACGCGCAGCCATCTCTGCCAGCCCTGTGGTGCACGCGTGGTCGGTGCGGGTCACAGCCAGCTCAATGGACTCGACTTTCTCGAGTACCTGCTTGAGGATCTCTGGAATGTAGTCGTTGGACGTCTGGGGAACTTGTTCCCGTCCAGGCGGAGGTGCGCGCGCAGACTGCCCCGTGACACCCGAGGGCGGGGGGACAGCCAACGCGCCTTCCTCGACCGACAGTCCCGTGACACCCGAGGGCGGGGGGACAGCCAGTGCGCCTTCCTCGACCGACAGTCCCGTGACACCCGAGGGCGGGGGGACAGCCAGTGCGCCTTCCTCGACCGACAGTCCCGAGACACCCGAGGGCGGGGGGACAAAGAGAAGAAAAAAGAAAGAAACTAAAAAACCAAAAACGAATAAACCAAAAAAAAAAAACAACAGAGAAACAAGAAAACAGAAAGAAAAAAAAAAGATAAGCAAAAAATTGTACAAAAAAAACACAAAACGCGTAGAAAAAATGAGGAAAAAACATAAAAATTAGCCTATTGCGCCTTCCTCGACCGACAGTCCCGTGACACCCGAGGGCGGGGGGACAGCCACTGCGCCTTCCTCGACCGACAGTCCCGTGACACCCGAGGGCGGGGGGACAGCCAGTGCGCCTTCCTCTGCTGCAGTGGTGCTGGCCTGAGGCGCGAGCGCAGCCTGCTGCGCCACGCCAGGCACTACTTCTGGCCCCTCTGCAGAGACGAATGATTGATCCGCCGTGGAACCGTGCCTCTGAGCGTAGTATGTAGAGCCTGGAAACCCTACACAATCTCCAGTCCGGAGGTGTGGTAGATGACCGGTATTCCTTGAATGGCAAGCCAAACAGTGTCCCTCCATCCTTGCCCTCGCAGGGGTCATGGTGATCAAGGGGTTCGGCCTTGCACCAAGAGAATGAGGACGCATCCTCCGCTTCGAGACTGGCGCTACTGGGTGTGGAGATGGAGGCACCGGCACTTGCAGCGCAGGTGTTGGTACTGCTTGTGCGGGTTCGTCTAGCGCTGCGTGTGGTGTAGGTGCCGCCTCTGTTGGGGCGTTTTGGAGAGCCCGTTGGGTGCGGTCGCGGCCCCGAGGGCTGACACTGGCTACTGCTGCCACTGCGCCGTTCGCAAAGCCCACTGCGGCTCCAGCCACGGCAACGGCAGCTCCCCCCACCGCGGCGCCCACAGCTGTGGAAAGCCCCAAGGCTTGTGTTGCTCTGGTCTTCCAGGTCGCCAGCTGCTCCACGTAGTAGCGTTTCCACTGCTCCCTCATCTGTTGGTCGTGCTGTTGGGAGTAGTTGACGATGACCTGCATCATGCACTCGCCGCAGAATGGGACGCCCTGGAAGCGCTCCAGCTGCAAGCAAGATGCGTGCCCATAGGACCCGCACTGGCTGCAAGTCACCGGGTCCGTGACCATGGTGTGGCACTTAGGGCAATCGCACTGGAAGCCCCTGTACGTGCTGAGGTACTCGACGCACTGCAGTGACGTTGGGCTCATAACCCTCGTATAGCTGCTAGTCGGCCGCGCAGGCCGGGAAAGAGCTAACACATTCGCAGATACATCTTCCTCCATCGTTGTATCGTGTGGGAGACAGTTGATGTAGGGATGTGACGATACAGGTTCGTTTTACTCGCTCAACTGCTGCAGTCCAGTTGACAGATCTTGAGCCAAATAGCGACGGATGCTTTGCCCGTCCTGCTCTCTATGGCAGATTTGCCGCAAGAGATACTACAAGTACAAGGGGCGAGAAAGGATGCGCGATTATCGTGGCGCCTCTGCGTGCCTTCGCACGCTCTTGTCGCACCGGCAATCTCACGGTCGCACCAGCAGACAGATGGTCGCACCAGCAGACAGATGGTCGCACCAGCAGACAGGTGACGCCACAGCGTCGCGCGCTTCGGGGAGGTTGCTCAGGTTCTAGCGGAGGAGGGGATACACAAGAAAGAGAGATAGAGAAAGAGATTATGCTACAACGTGCTTTGGCGACAGAGCACTCGTCCCGTGACACCCGAGGGCGGGGGGACGTTGAGCAACCATCCAGTGACACCCGAGGGCGGATGGACGGTCGCTCAGTAGTGCAAGGCTGCTGCTACGTGCTGCTCACTCAGAAACGCTCCATGATACAAATCATGCTGACACTTGTATCGTCACATGTTTCGGGGGTCTCTACGCACCAACATCGTTGATGACTGATGCGTTTATACTGGTCCCCCTCCTCCTCCTCCTCCTCCTCCTCCTCCTCCTCCTCCTCCTCCCCCTCCTCCTCCTCCTCCTCCTCCTCCTCCTCCTCCTCCTCCTCCTCCTCCTCCTCCTCCTCCTTATCCTCCTTTCCCTCTTCCTGCTGGCCAGAAGCAGTGCTGGGCCACCTTACCCCCCCAGCTGGCCCCCAGACGAATCTCACTCCCTGTTATCTGGGTTGCCTGGGAGCCCAGGCAAAGCCCAGCGCGTGCCATCCGCGAGAGGGAAGGAGGCAGATTGCGGGCCTGGACACCGCCAATGCTTCCGAGCGTAGACGAGCTCATGTTGGGCTGCGGCCTCCCCTGCGGACATGCCCCCTAGCTGCTCCCCGATCGCCCTCCTCCACCCTCCAGCACTCACCGTCCGTCTCCTGCCACGGTCGCACCCGCGCTGTCCTCGGCCGCGTCGTCCCCTCCGCTCTGCCTGCCTCGCCTCCCCTCCCTCCCTGGCTGCGGGCCGGCGTGCGCGATGGGCAGGGCGCGCAACGCGGGCGAGCTTGCGATTGAGCCAGTGTCGAGGGCTCCTCATCTCCAAGGGAGGAGGAAGGATGATGAGGAAGGAGTGGGAGCAGGACATCGATGAGGGCGAGGACGAGGAGGATGACGATGAGTAATGTAAGGTGAGGTAAAGGAGGTACGGTAAGGTAAAATGGAGCAAGAACGAGGAAGATGGGCAAAGAGCAGGAAAACGAACAGGGCGAGGGCGAGAAGGAGAAGAAGGAGGAGGAGGAGTAAGGCAAGGGAGGAGAGGTTTTCTGGAGGTGCCAATTCATTCTAGGAAGTGATGTGGAGGTCGAGGTGGTGGCTCTGGCGGTTCTCCTCTTCCTCCTCCTCCTCCTCCTCCTCCTCCTCCTCCTCCTCCTCCTCCTCCTCCTCCTCCTCCTCCTCCTCCTCCTCCTCCTCCTCCTCCTCCTCCGATCCTTCCCCTCCTTCCTCCTTCCCTCCCTCCCTCCCTCCCTCCCGTCCCTCCCTCCCTCCCTCCCTCCTCCGCTCCCCTTCCCTCCTCCCTCCCTCTCCTCCCTCCTCTCTCCCCCCCCCCTCACATCCTCTCCTCCTCCTCCTCCTCCGCGCGCCTCCTCCCTCCTCCTCCTCCTCCTCGCCTCCTCCTCCTCGCGTCTCCAATCCCTCCTCCCCTCCCTCCTCTCATCCTGCTCCTCCTCCTCCTCCTCTTCCTCCACACCTCTTCTTCCTCTTCCTCCTCCTCATCTGCCTCTCCGCCTCCTCCGTCCTCCTTCTTCCTCCTCCGGCCTCCTCCTCCCTCCTCCTCCTCCTCCTCCTCCTCCTCCTCCTCCGCAATGATCTTAGCGTCATCATCACCAGCAGCAGCAACAGCAATGCATCGTCATCATCATCATCTCCATCATCATCTCATCTCATCATCATCATCAGCATCGCCTCATCATCATCATCATCAGCATCATCATCATCATCATCATCAGCAGCAGCAGCATCATCATCATCCTCCTCCTCCTCCTCCTCCTCCTCCTCCTCCTCCTCATCATCATCATCATCATCATCATCACTATCATCATTATCAGCATCAGCATCATCATTATCATCATCATCAGTAGCAGCAGCAGCAGTATCACCATCAGCAGTATCATCATAGTCATCAGCGTTAGCATCATCACTATCATCGTCATCATATGCAGCATCAGAATCAGCATCATCATCAGCAGCATCAGCATCAGCATCAGCATCAGCATCCTCATCAGCAGCTTCAGCATTACCAGTTGCATAATCCGCAGCAACGTTATCATCATCAGCATCATCAGCATCATCACTATCATCGTCATCATAATAATCATCATCATCAGCAACATCATCATCATCATCATCATAATCATCGGCATCGTTATCATCATCATCATCAGCAGTATCAGGATTATGAGCATCAGCATCAGCAGCAGCATCATCAGCACCATCATCATCATCATCATCATCATCATCATCCTCATCATCATCATCATCATCAGCACCAACCTCATCATCAGCAGCAGCAGCATCAGCAGCATCGCCAGCATCAGCATCATCAGCATCATCAGCATCAGCAGCATCATCAGCAGCAGCATCAGCAGCATCAGCATAATCATCAGCATCAACAGCATCAGTATCCTCGTCATCATCGTCAGCATCATCATCGTCATCAGCATCGGCATCATCGGCATCAGCATCATCATCAGAATCAGCATCCTCAGCAGCATCAGCACAAACATCAACATGATCATCAAACAATCATCAAACACAAAAAAAGCAAGGCAAGCATAGAAACCGCATCAGCATCACCATCTTTTTCTCCCCCTTGTCTCCATCCCTCCCTCCTCATTCGCTCCTTCACTTCCCCCCCATCCGTCCCTCCCTCCCTTCCTCCCATCCCTCGCCACCCCTCCCAGTTCTCCCTCTTCCTCCTCTCCTCCTCCTCCTCCCTCTCCCCTTCTTCCTCTTATTTCCTCCTCATTCCTCCTCGCTCCTCGCTAGTTCCTCCTCCGCCTCTTCCTCCTCCTCCTCATCCTCCTCTTCTCGCTCCCCTTCCTCCCTCCTCTTCCTCTCCTCTTCCTAATCCGCATCCCTCATCCTCAACAGCATCCTCCCCCATCCTCCTCTCATCCGCCTCCTCCCTCCTCTGCTCTTCCTCCTCCTCCCCACCTCCTCCTCCTCCTCCTCCCTCCTCTCCTCCGTCATCCTCCAACCTTGTTCCTCTCCTCCACCTTATCCTCCTACTCCACCTCCTGATCCGCCATCTCATCTTCCTCATCCTCCTCCTCCTCCTCCTCCTCATTCTCGTCCTCCTCCTCCTCCTCCTCATCCTCTTTCTCATGTCCCTCCTCGGTCTCATCCTCCTAGCACTCCTCGTCGCCCCACCTCCTCCTCATCGTCATCCGTGTCTTCCGCCTCCTCCTCATCATCACCATACTCCTCATCTTCATCGTCCTCCTCCTCCTCCACGTCCTCCTCCTCCTCTTCCTCCCTTTCCGCATCCCCCTCCTCCTCCTCCTGCCCCTCCTCCTCCTCCCCCTTTCCCCTCCTCCTCCTCCTCCTCTTCCTCCTCCTCCTCATCATCCTCCTCCTCCCGCTCCTCCTCATCGTCATCATCCGCATCC